CCAGACAGATTGTACACTTTCGATATTAATTGTGGATGTTGTTACATTAATTTTAATAAAGATAAGTTTTTTTGAAACGTCTTGGAATGCTAGTTGTCCACAATTATTGATATACGATTACATACATTTTTAAATGATTGTACATTCCTTCAAAAGTCTCTTTTTCTGAGAAGATATGAGATGCTACAAAATATAAAATCTAAAGAAGATATGAGAAGATATGAGATATAAGATATGAGAGAAGATATAAAATCTGAGAAGATATGAGATGCTACAAAATATAAAATCTAAAGTTTCTTATGCTATGACGAATAAATGGAAAAATTAAATTATTCATAAAAATATTGATTTTTTAAACACATATATAAAATTAAATAATAGCAAATAGCATTAAGAAAAAAAATATCCTGAGCATGATTTCTGGAAAAGAATTTATCTTTCTGTTGCACAAATTTGTAACGTTCTGAATTATTTATTAACGATCTAAGAGAATTGCATTTAAAAGTTAACTAGCTTTCTTCTTTCAATGCGTACAGTTTTGACATATACTGTACATATTGAAAATACATAATTTACAACACATAATTTAAAAATATGATTAATTTACAATTTGTGTAATTTGTAAAATTCTCTAAATGGGATGATGTTTCGTAGATGTTATAACATCATAGTTTGGTAGTCGTATCATAAGAAAAAAAATCGTAATTCACAAGTCACGAATTAATTAAAATGAAAATTCGTAATTGTAGGATGGCTCTTATGTTGAGGAAATTACTCTCCCCAAACATTGTAATTCTTTATCTAAACAACGTTTTCCGGTTCTGCTTTATAAGTTTTATGTTCGTAACGGTATATTTTCATATTTTTAACTCTTTTAGTTTTGCTTTCTGGTATTCTTCTTACTGCTTATTTTATAAAGAGAAAAACTGTCTGTTTTTTTTTTTTTTTTTTTTTTTTTTTTTTCAGAATACTGCAGGCTTCCTTGATGGCTGTTTAATTATAATGTACATGCTTGGCGCACTGATACAATTTTATATATTATGCTACTCTATCCAGGAATTAATCGAAGCGGTAAGATTTTTTTCAAATAATACAAATACAATGGCATATAACACCTCAAATTATACAACGAAGAACTAACTTTATGTTTTCTGATCGGCGATTTATTCGTTAGATGATCAAAAATATATTTATTACTTACAGAATAAGGAGCATTAAATTTAAATATATTCATGAGTTTTAGTAATACAATCAGATTAATATATTTGTAGGTTAATATGAATGTGTTAATATAATTTTGTTTCAAATTTTTAGAGCAAAAACGTATCGGACGACGTGATACATGAAAAATGGTATTTCCACGACGTATCGTTACAACGCGCAATTGTTATGGTGATTCTGACTAATAAACTCGAGTGCAAATTATCTAGTCTTCAAAACATTAATCTGACTTTGTCCTCTTTCATGTCGGTATGTCTTTATTCTTTAATAAGATTTAATAAGATAATATTTTTTACTTGATAGATACTCCAATACAAAAGTAAATCGAATAATCTATGTTATTATATCTTGTCATAAGTAGAAATATAAGTAGCAATATGAACAACACATAAGTAAAAGTAAGAAAAAATTATTTTAACAGATACTGAAACGTTTTTCTTTTTCAAAATATTTTTACATAAACATTAGTTATAGTGAGGTACATTATCTAGTACAAATGGTCTTTCTGTACGATATATTTCTTTATTCTATATATATATATACTAACATAATTTAATCGATTTACTTTAAAACACTTTATATGTAATCTAATAGTAATTGTTATCTATTTAATTATTACTTGATTGTTCTCGTAGGTCTTAAATCAAGCGTATTCGGTATGTCTATTGTTTCTAAGAACAAAACAAGATTAAAATTTAAATTATAAATTTTAGTGTTAAATTTAATGTATCATGATAATTAGAATGTAGTAATAAACGTTGGACACAAATTAAATAATTATGTTTAATAAGAGATAAACATAAGTAATTATGTTTTATAAGTTAAATCCTGCATTTGCACAAAATCTGCTAATCAAGTTGATTAAATTCATCGAAAATCATAGCTTTCTCATTCGTTTTTCTTCTGTAATAAATACTTATTAATTTCCACGAATTATCTTGCACGAGAATAACAGGTTCAATTCAATTTAGGATTACAAGACAACTTCAAAATTACGAAGACTGTCGAAACTTTTTGAATTTTTACCGATAATAATAGATTAGATAGAAAACAAAAGCAAACCGAATTAATGTAATCATTTTCCTCAGATAAATTTCACCAAAATTGTTAAATAAGTTGTTATTACTTATTATTAATGTTATTATTATGGTCGATTGTACCATAATTTTCGGTAACTCTCTACAATTTTGTTAATTATAATTACTCTTTAATTTGGACAAAGGACAAAGTTTTAATTACATAATATAAAGATTAAGTGTAGAATTTTAATTGTGTAGATTAATTGTAACTTACCTGAAAATATGTGACAATGTGTGAACGAAACGTAGAGAGAATCAGTGAATTCCTATAATACCAGGTGTTCCGATTTTAAACAAAAGAATTTCAAACTCTTTCTTATCAACCTTATATTAACGCAAAATTCAAAATAGTATCGTGGAACTTTCTGGATGACATACTTATTGCAAGTTACGAAATTTACACTTTTAAATATATTGTTTTTGTAGAAAAATTTCATGAAACACAAGTACTATTCTCTTATGATTCTCTTACAGAGATACTTATATCATCATAAATGTCTAATAAACAAGAAACAACTAGTAACATTCAAGAACATTAGAAATTTCTTACCATTAATGACGATACTTCACAATCATTTTATGGTACATACATGTATACTTCTTTTCGGTCAATGTGAAGATGATGAATTGAAAATTTTGTTTGGTATTTCCTTTATGATTATTTAATGATACACACAGTACAAACATTTGAGAGACTTATTAAGTTTATTTGATTATTTGAACATTTAATTCCTAAAAATAGTGATGATATATTCGCTTGTGGCCAAAGGGCCATTTCATTAGAAATAAGTAGCGTAATGTCGTTTCCTCTTTGCCGACTTAGTTTTACATTGCATTATTTTATTATGCAAGAGCTTATTGTCTTTTTGTTCTTTCGATTGTTTCGAACATCCAGTAGCAAAAAATTCTAGACTGGCACCGTTCTCGTCATTATTTATATTGTTGAATACATTTCGTACGTTCACGTTGTATGTGCATTCACTTTGAAGATGCTTTATTTCAAGGTGTGGTGTCTGAAAGCAATTGAGCAAGATGTAAGTTTCATTCAATTTATATGCAGTGTAATATTTAGAATCATTTAAGATAGTTTTGTACAAAAAGACTTTACATTCTGCAATTATTTTGATGTGTAATGACATTCATTTGTTAATACAAAAAAACATAGATTATCCAATTGTACTCTAAAGCTTAGATTTTAAGTCTTAAGATAAACTGTATCTTTTATTTACAAAAATTTTATTTATTTATATAGTGATAAATATAAATATGTATATATATAATGGAGAATATTATTATTCGTAAAGAACTTAACATGAAGTAAACTAACACGTATTATTTTACTTAATAAATGTTTCTTGTCAAGCTAGATATAATTGCATCAAGCTAACATTATCTTCCAAATATTTTAAAAACATATTGTTTACATTCTTTCATGTCAATCTATTCCAAAAGTTCCGTGTTCGATACAACAATTTTTTTTTTTTTTTAATGGTGACATTCAAATTCCTGTATTATAATATATTCTGCTATAAGCTTCAAGCAACATTGTCATCACGATTTTCTGCAGATGTAAGTAAATAACTTAATGGGATGAAAATATCTTTTCAAGTAAGTAATGTTAGTTGGTTTGTAACAGAAACAAGGAAATCGTTTTTTTTTTTTTTTTTTTTTTTTTTGGCCAAAATAAAATAGAAGAAACAAAGATTAAAAATTACGTGGCATTAAGCACCGATTGATTATTGATTAGCAAAAGTATACATTACAGTACCTGAACAAGTTTCCACCAGGCTCTCTTTCGACGGGATACGAGTTTTTCCCGCGAATCTGAGCAGGATGCCTCTCTCCAGGAGACGTTGTATGCCTTTACATCGTGGTTCATCGGCCAAACCAAACGTACCTTGACCTCGCCGCAGTGACAAGTCATTCGCCGCAAATGAAGATCGCCATGGTATCGCTCGCATCTGCGAGATCGTCTCCCCATATCGGCTTCAATGAAAGGGCACTTCTTCGTTTGTTATCCCAATTATTAGGCTCAACAAAAAGTACCAGTAGCAGATGGAAGAAGAGCAGGCTGGAATTTCATCTTACCGTATGCCATGTAATCGGTGCTATTGAAAACTTTCGATGCTTTTCGCGACAACAATCGCCGACCACCGTACAATGCAACAGCTTGCACTTGAAGAAAGTATTGGCACCTGGGTTCCAAGTTTTTCAGTTCGTAGCAAGTCTTATCCTGCGAAGAAAAATCACTCGCCGTTGTAGGTGAATCGCTGCAACGGCATTCTTCACGAGCCAGGTGAAAGAAGTAGATGATTCTATGCTAGTTTCGCTTACCCTTGTTAACGTGTAATGTTAAACATTTTAATTTCGAAAGTAAATGAAAGCAGAGGGAAGTCATATTACTAAGTTGTAAAAATATATGAAAATAATTTACATTTACTTGGCGAATTAATGTACAGACGATTGCTGTTCAAACTGCTTGAAGAACTTTTCTTTTAATTGAAGTATAATATTTGTTTGTCAATTATCAAAGTCGACCTTGAGTATTGGACCATTAGTTAGGAATAAAGAAACTTTTCCCACTTCCATCCATTCTTATTTATCATTTTAATATTATTTATTTTTAACAAAAAAAAAAAAAAAAAA